AAAGTAAGCTTATGAAGCTGTATTGTTCATTCAAATATGAACCAACTTCCCATCTACAACTTCCTCCTCAACGTGAATTTTCTCCCTTGATACTTTTATGTCAAGGTGGAGAAGGTCCACTTGATTAAGGCGTTATCAAAGGAAGTATGCATGACCATACAACCAGTCTTAGTAACTCTCACATACATGTTATTCATAAAAAAAAATTCCTGGATTCCAATACCTTTAGCCGCTCCTGAGTCTTCTTTAAATCCTCCTGAGATTCGATCAAGGCCACCCTTGGTTCCCTCAAGGAATTCTTCATATTTAAAATAATTTTATTAGTTGCATTAAGGGCTTCAATGACCCCCAAAAGGAAGGGAAATGATATCCTTGATTAAACTCGCTCCCTAAAGTCATCCAATGAATCAATCAAATTATAATCCTAGAATGGTCACAAAGAATTAGGGACAACAACCCCAAAAATGGATGATAAGGAACAAGTATGAAATTTCATCATGTATAATTCTCTAAGTCAAAAACACTTAATTAGTTGTTGCAAGAAATAAAAAAAGATATTACACAATAAAAAGTAATAAAAGAAAAGAAAATAATTCATCACTTACAAATAGAAAGAGGGTCGGAGGCCAGTACATATTTTTCTCATAAAGCTAAATTGTTTCTTTAAACGAGAACCAAAATGGTTGTATCATACTATCAAAGAAATAAAAAAGAAGCCTATGAAGTTGAATTATCCCTTTAAATAGGAACCGACGTCTTCTCTACAACCTCCTCCTCATTATGAATTTTCTCCCTTGATATTTTAATGTCAGGGTGGAGAAGCTCCACTTGATTCAAGTCATTATAAAAGGAACATTGCATAACTGCACAACCAATTTCAACAACTTTCACAAACATGTTATTCATAGAAATTTTCTCATATTCTGCCACTTTCACCCGCTCCTAAGTCTTATTTAAAATCTATTGAGATTTTAGCAGTGCTTAATTTTACTTCATCAAGGCACTCTCTATATCTTCCATAATTTTATTTGTGGTATTAACGATTTTGTTGACCTCGACTAGAGTTGTTTTTGTCTTAGTTAAAGATTTCTCGACATCATTCAAAGTTGTATCATTTTCTTCAACCTCCTTTTGAAGCTCATTCACTTTTTTTCCAAAGAGGAAAGATCTCATACTTATTCATTTCACCAACCACTCCTCTCATCAATTTTTTAGCATCACCAAGTTCGGCGGTTAGCTTGCTCTTCTCAACTATAATAAAATCCAAATGAATCTACAAAGCCCTTTTCTCCTTCCGAAGGTCCTCGGGAGCTAAGACATCGCCTTTACTAACAATGTCGAAGGCCAACAAATTGTTTTCCCATGCATTTGATAGGCCATTTCACCAATCACCTCTCAATGGGCCATCTCACTTGGGCGAGAAAAATAAGAGTAATCATTATCTGAGATAGAATTCTCAAGATCCTTAACTATATTAGGCTCCAGAGTGACAAAATAATGCTAAAGGGTGTAAGAAGAATCATGGTCATTCCCTCCAAGATTATTCCTCTCCCGTTTAAGACCCTCATCTATGGATTTTTGAGGAATGACCATCCATAATAGGACCTTGTATGACCTTCTCTTGTTATATTTTTCATTTGACTTGCTCGAGGAATACATCTTAGTAGAATTATCCCTACACTGATGCTGGGATTTTTTAGTTGCATAATCTTTGGAGAATGGAAGACTATTCCTTAAGGTGTTTCCTTTCATACCTCCCCCGAATTGTACCTACACAACAACGGTATCCCATTCTAGAACCCGAGAAGCTTCTTTAGGATCATATGCTCTATTGTTCTATGTTGTCACCTTTGTGGGTTGTGTTGCAAGGACTACAGAGGGATACAGATTTCTCTTCAATCCCATCTTCATCTGAATCATTTTTAGAGTCTACTCATATTATTTTCCAAACAGAACAAATCATGTTCATTACAAAAAACAACTTTATAAAGTAATGCAAAGTACTCAAACTTTAATAGAGAATACCTCATCACCAAAAATGTTTTCCATATCCTCCCCGGTGGCCGCCTTAACCAGTTGACGGGTTTTGTTATGATGTTTATTCTCCTTTTGTGGATTTAACTCAGAAGGAACCAACTCCTACAAATAGGCCAAATAATCCCATAATTTGGTGATATTATGCTTCAAGTACCCTTATTTTTAAGATATATCATGGGGATGGTATATGTAAGTCACTGGTCCCACTAGAAAGTGATTTCACCTCCAAAACACGGGAACTTGTCAAAACATTTTGGATGGGAAGGGGGAATACGAGGAGGATAAGAGGAGTACCTTGACGAATAGTCATTATGGTAAACATATCCCACTGAAAATTCATAACGGCTATCATGTGTGGCGCAACTAAAAGGGTAGCAGGATAATACCTATCTCTGAAATTTTTGTAATTATCCATGTACACTTTAAAAAAATTCCATCCTTGTCTAAAAAGGGAAGCCCTTGAGCCTTTTCATAATTGGTAGAGGTCCTTTAAACTTGAAATATGTGAAAGAAAAGGCTAATTCAGGGAGGTTATTTTGGTATTCACACCATTATCGGAAAGCTTTGACATAATCTAAGTTCATAGGGTGTAACTATGAGGAGGTAATCCCTAGATAGTTTATAACCTTGTAGATGGTTTATAAATTCATGTAGGGGAAGAACATATCCTTCATACTAGTTGCACGACCTTTACCCCTCTCAAAGTGAAGCACTAGCATATCGAAAGATAGTCTTATGTCCCGATGGGATGGGTGTTGTTCATTCTATGTTCATTTGTGAAGAAAGACGTCGGCCCCTATTTATTAACTCACACAAGGATACTGATCAAGATTATTAGGAAGCTCAAGGTCTCGTTGTCCTCGTCACACTATTTTTATCTCTCTATCAACAAATAAAAAGTTACAACCATGAGTATAAGTCCACAATTGTTTCTCTATCCACCATCTAATCTCTTTATTAGTAGGGCCACAGTCAAATGAGCTTCTTCAACATTTAATGTAGGTTGTTTCCTTTTGTTCATCTTTGGGATTTTAAAAAAAATTTAGGATTGGCATGTGAAACTTCTAGAAAGGTAAATCCTCAGGCAACCTCGCAAATGTCAATCCAAGTGAGAGTAGTCTCCCTCACTCAAGCAACATTCATTTTTGGATTTCTCAGCTAAACAAGCTCCCTAACCTTAACAATGCTCATTGTCAGGTTTCTTACTTCTAAAGACGAAACTTCTAAATTCATTGTTACATCTAATATATATGAATGAGATCTATGTGTTTGTTATATAAGCCATAACTAAAAAAAGATAATGTGAAATATAGAAAGGCAAAGACGAGAGATAAGTACCTTGAATATTTTATAAGTTATGTAGAATGGAGAATAAAATTACGAAAAAAATAAGTTGTTGGGAACCCATAAAATTTTAGACTCTGAATAATTAAGATCAAGGCCACGAAAAATGAAGAGTTTAAAACCCAGAAAGATACGATGTGAAATCACTAAGAAAGGAATAAGGTTTATAGCATCAGAAGCACAAGAAGACAAAAAGAGAAAACCAACTTTCTTCTCCTTATTTGTAGACATAGAGAGCACAAAGATCTACAGCAAAGAGCTTAAGGAGAACTGAAATCCATGAATCAAAGGTCAAAATGAGACCCCGATCTTGTAACAACACTCAAGTGTACTCAAGTACTCTAAACATGTCACTTCCCTATCCTAGGTGTGTGAAGACATGTGGTGGATTTTTCCAAAGTGACATTTTCGTGACACAATGAACATTAAATGTTCATATTCTCAATACCATCAACTCTCACTCAATTTCTCAATGAAATTTTCCTCTTCGTAGAGCATTTTCCCAACATACATATTTCTTGAACGAAGCGCCCAATTAGACCGATCTCAAAACCCCCTACCAAAAGTCCAATAAAAACAGACCAATCTGAAATTCCTATCTAACCAAAGACACTCCTTCAACTGGCGAACATTTAAGCCTCTACAAAATGTCACACAAAAGCAATGTAATATCTTCATCTCAATTAATCCAATCATTAATGATTATCCTCTTTCGCATCTCACCTTAGATCAACCGGCAACGGTTCTAACCATCACTGCTATATAGCAGTGTGACTCTAAATCATATTTAAATATTCATTCACTCACATGCTTGTAAATCTTACCTCTCTCATTATTTGATTTGATCATTAAAATATTAATTTTGTATAAGTCTTTTTAAAATAGTCATTTTAACCCATCATCATTTTCTGTTCCCGTACGGAATAATTAGATATCAAATTTAAAGAAAAAAATACTCTAAAAACAGAGGAATGTACATCACAGAATAAATATGCTGTATAAAAATATTTCTCTTAGCCTCCATTTTGTTACGTCTAACACTTGACTTTTGTGTATTTATCATGTCCTTTTTATTTGGAAACTAAATTTATTAACAATTTGAGCAATCAAACAAATTTAGCCGACTTGATATAAACTCAAAAGACAGAGACGTGTTCTTTGGATAATACTGTAATTACCACCCCTTTGACTCTTGATCTGCTTTTTATTTCAAGTATTTGAATGTGTGGAACCGTATTAGGTGGATGTATTTTTAATTAATTAATTTGATCATTTAATTGATTAGTTTTGTCCCAAAATCTATCTTTCTGAATTAGTCCATATAAGAAAGTATATCATATCATTAATACAATCTCACCAAAGCGACGACTTATTGAGTTTTTTAAAGGAAAAAAGAAAGTGACCGTTCAATAAAAAAATTTCAAACGTTTATTTATGCGTGCATGTTGTTTTCACATATTCATATAAATCAAACTATAACAACAACAACAACTTAGCTGAGTGTGCGTGTAGTCTAGTGGAAAAGGCATGAATTTTGAGAGTGTGTTCCTCTCGAGGTCTGTTTGAATTCTTATAAACATAAATTGTTTATTGTGTGAAATTTGTGGAAATTCAATTGAATGGGTTGCTTTTTTTCAACTTCATTTTCAAAGAAAGTTAAAACGCCAGGTTATGAAGATCCAACTGTTCTTGCTTCTGAGACACCTTGTGAGTATCCATCATCATTAACTTCTACTAATTCTGTTCCAAATGATATATTAGTAGATTAATTAATTTAATTAATCACTATAATATGCTTAAAAGCTGATTAAAACAAATTTTGATTTTTCTTCTTCCTAGTTAAAGTGAGTGAAGTAGATGCATTATATGAACTGTATTTGAAGTTAAGCAATTCTATTATTCAAGATGGTCTAATTCACAAGGTGACTTAAGTGTTTTAGTTTAGATTAAATGTTCTTAATTAATTGATAAATTATGGTGCTTAATTACTTGTGGTGCATTTTAATTTTTAACGTTCAGGAAGAATTTCAGCTAGCACTGTTCATAAATGAAAACCAAAAGAATTTGTTTGCTGACAGGGTTAGTATATAGAACTGATTCATATGCTCTACGGTATAAAATTTTTGGTTTCTTGATCTTTTTCACAATTGATAATTTCCGCTTTTATAGCTTTTTGACTTATTTGATGTAAAGCGCAACGGGGTTATTGAGTTTGGTGAATTCGTTAGATCTCTTGGTGTTTTTCACCCAAACGCAGCTTTAGGAGACAAAATTGCATGTAAGATAAAACTCATTGACTTTTCTTCACTCACTGTTATCATTGTATATAGATTATTGTTTATTGAAGTGTGAAAAGTGATATTTGCAGTTGCTTTTAGGCTATATGATTTGAGACAAACAGGGTACATTGAAAGAGAGGAGTTAAAGGAAATGGTATCGGCACTTTTGCATGAATCGGATCTTTTTCTTTCAGATGAGATGATAGAATCCATTGTGGATAAAACTTTCAAAGATGCTGATACAAAAGACGATGGAAGGATCGATGAAGATGAGTGGAAAGCTTTTGTTTCTCAACATCCGTCTTTGATCAAGAACATGACTCTTCCATATCTAAAGTAAGTCTAGTGTAACCTCTTGATTATAAAGAAATAGAAGGTACAGATAAAAATTAATTTCTAGAAATGTAGATGTTTGTTTTTAATTATGTGTCCTCCTCATTTTGTAGAGATATTACTATGGCATTTCCGAGTTTTATTGCAAGAACAGAAGTTGAAGACACATATGTGTGAGAATAATTGAGGAGTTTTCATTCTTATTCACTTGAGAATTGTTATTTCTAGTGCACTTTTACATAAATTTATGTATATATCTATACACACACACGAGACAGTATAGTATTCTCGTGAAAGTACTAAAATTATTCATCTTCTTCACTTGTGAATTGTTATTTCTAGTGCACTTTTAATATGATAAAAGAAGGACTAATTTTAGTGCTTTCACGAGAAAAAGTTTGGAGGAAAATGACTCAAAAGGAGAGAAAAGAAAGAAAGTAGGAAAAAGGAGAAAATGTAATGGCAACACTATAAAACGAGTGATTCCAGATTGTAGAGGTTTTTTCGATAAAGAGAGGATTGGTGGGGCCAAATAGTGATGTAAATAAAACTATCTATTTGTATTGAAATGTTAACGGTGAGTAGGTGAGTTTATACGAAATTATATAAAGTTTAAACCTTGTTACTACGTAATAAACAAAAAGGGATTTTGCTTCTGTTAGCTGTGTGTGGCGTATAGTGTTTTGGTAAAGAGTCCAGGGGACATGTTTAATAGTATGCGATAAGGACATGATTTACTTTTTTTGTTGATTTAGAGCTTGCTTCGATAGCCACACACCATTGATTGGTTTAGAATAAGATTGGCTGCTGTTACTTACTTCTTGGGAGTTGAATTTTGGAGAGAAAGTTTTTGGAGAATTAGTGGAGACACGGGTAGTAAAGGAAGGTCATGGCTATTCTTCTTTTTTTTTTTTTAAGTAAAATTCATAATCTTATATATAGTATATATTTATCGTATGATATTATAATTTGAAAAATATATTTATTAATTTTTTACAAGTGATAAATTAAAAATGAACATTGTCATCGTAAATAAATATCGAGATATTCTTTTAATTTTAATTAGTTGTCGTGATTCCACATTATTTAATACACTCTCATTTAATTATTTAACTTTATATCTATATTTCATTCTATAAACTATAACTTCACTCCACATATCAAAATTTAACTAATCATTATCATAATTCTTAATTATTACTTAGTTAATTATTTAATTTATTATTGATATTCTTAATTATTTACAATATTTTTCTTAAAATAATTATTACAAATAATAATAATTTTGTATTATATTTAAAATATATCTCAATGATTATTTACAAAATTAACATTTGTCTCAATTTTATATTATGTCTAAAATTCATCTCAAAATCTATATATTCAATGGAGTTTCGTCTAAAATCCGTTTTAATATTTTACACAAATTTGAGACAGAATTTCAAATAAGTAATAAAATAATTATGTATTATGTATTTTTTTTAAATCTATCTTAAAGGTCTTTATAATTGAAATTTGTCTCAAACCTGACTTAATATATCACATGAATTTATAATAAACTTTCCAAAATATAGTAAAATAAATAATAATTATATAATTCATCTCAAGTATGTCTCAAAATCTTTAAGGATTGAAATCCATTTAAGAGGAAATTTACTTCGTCCCCAATTTCTATTTAAAAATGTCAATATTTTATTAGTGTAACGACTACATGTAATTAATAGATTCATCACGATATACATTTATATTAGTCCATATCATATCTCTATATTTTATATTTGTCTCTCATTATTCTATTTGTTTAGTAAGTTTCATTTCATTTATTTGATGTATTTTTAATTTCAAAATTTTATTTGAATATTATAATTATAAATTCTATAATTTTAAAATGATTATTTTAGTGTTGAAATTATACATTCTTAATGAATTACATTACAATAAAAGAAGTTAATGTTTTTGTCACAATAGTTGCGAATATATAATTATGTTTTATTAATATTTTATTAAATTTGATTAGAATTTAAATATTTTATATATTATACTTTTTATTTTATCTTAGCGGTCATTTCAAAAATTTTGGTCTGGCTCTGCCACTTGTTGCAATGTGTATGTTATTTTTAAAAAATTTTAAAAAAAATATATTATATTAACATATAAAATTATATTCTTATTTAAATTTTCAAAAAATATCAAATACATTTCAAGATATAGACGCAACCCTCCAAAATCTTCTCTTCTAAAATCCTCTAAAAACTAACTCTCAAACAACCCCTAATGAATCTACCTAATGTAGTGTCCACACTATTGTATCTAACTAAAGACGTAAGAATTCGGTATGGATTGATTTTCAATTAAAAAAATCTGAATCAATAAAACCTATATTAAATTTGTTTTCACTATTTTTTTAAATGTAAGCGAATTAAATCAATCTGTTTGATTCGGTTTAGTTGATCAATTTGAAATAATTTTTTTAAAATAATATATTTATTTTGTAAAAAATATTAAAGTATGTCTTAAAATCTTAAGTGATGAATAGAAAGAAAAACATATTAAAAGATTGTATAAATTATAAAGTAGAAAAATCATCTAGAAAGTCACCAAAAGAGGTTGTTATCGTGAGAGACTTTTCAGTGAATGTGACCCGCTGTCGAAAATTTAAAAAAAAACTAGAAGTGGTGGTGTCAGATCAGCGATGCGACGGAAGTACGGTGGCAGAAGAGTGGTGGTGGAATCGTGGGTCATCATCGGAGGATGTCGGCGGGGCTTGGTGTTGGTGCGACGGTGGGTTGGAGTCGGTTCGTATGTTGCCAGATATTTTTCGACCATCCTACCAACTTTTTAAGTTCGCATGTTTTAGGTTTTTTTGGTTCAATTCATGGATATGTTTGTTAATGAATTGTGTTTTGGGCTTTGTTATAAATCTGTTGGGTTTTAACAATTATAAATATGTATCTCTTCTGTTAATGTATTATGACAATCTTGAGAACCTTAGAGTTGAAAACATAAATAAGGATTTAGAGTTTTTGGGAAAACTTTGAAGTTATCTAAAGGGATTGGAAAATACTTCTAAACACTTTGGGTTTATGTGATTACTATATTGAGAGTTGGAGAGATTGGGAAACACATGGTGTAGAAAATAGAGTTTGTTCTTGGGAATTTGGAAGGTTTTTTCTTGTAACTCATTTGTAATCTCTTGTAATAACTTTTTAAGGATAGTGAATTTGAGAGTTGATCTCTCCCCCGGACGTAGATCATTTGATTAATTGGGTAAACAAATATTTTGTATTTCTTACCTTCTTTTATCTTCTTCTACCAAGTTAATTCATTGTCTTATTGCATTGAAAGTTATTATTGTTGAAGGCCATTTATTTCGATTTCTTTTGTTATTTGTCTCACACATCAAATTTCTTAGTTTGAATGAACTTTGAATAAATCTTTAGAAGTGGTTTTTAATTATTTTATCAATTTTATAACAAGTGGGGGTGGGACAAAGGGGTGTCGTTTACAAGTGAAGATTGTGGTTAAATGGTAGATCGAGAAATTTTCTAGAGACAATAATTTTGAATTATGGGAAGTAAATATGCCAACAATATTAACTTAAGAGAGGTGTATTGAAGCTTTGAATGGTGAGACTTTGATGCTTGTACGCCTAACAAAAGCGTAGAATACTGAGATGGTGGATAATGACAGAAGTCTCATTTTCTTGTATCTTGAGGATAAATTTCTAAGTGGAGATGCCAGGGAGTAGATTGCAGCTTCGATGAGAAAAACTTGAATCATTGTGGAGAACAAATCCATAGTGGAGCAATTGACAGAATTTCACAAGATTATTGATAATCTTGAGAATATTGAAGTGAAGCTTGGTGATGATGACAAGGCTCCACTCTTGTTGAACTCATCACCTCGATCCTTTGAACACTTTAAGGATTCCATTCTTTATGGTAAAAAATGTACTATTACTTTAGATGAAGTCCAGACGGGTGTGAGATCCAAAGAATTTTCAAAAGTGAAAGATTTGAAGATTAAAAATAGTGGTGAAGTCTTGAGTGTCTCGAGAGGGGAAAATGATCATAGAAGGATGTCCAAATAAAATAGGTTTGACAAGTCAAAGGTAAAATGATGTAATTGTTAGAAAACTGGCAACTACAAGAGAGATTATCCCAAGAGGAAGGACACTGATGATTTTGTTCAGGTTGCAGGGTCGTCGGATGAGGATAGTTATGAGAGTATTGGTGCACTAGTGGTGTAGAGTTTGGAGTCTAAAGATAGTTGGGTCATAAAATCAAGTTTCTTTTATCACATGTGTCCAAGAAAATAATACTTTGAGAACTTGAAGTTGGAGTAAGGTGGAGTAGTTCTCCTTGGTGACAATAAGGCTTACAAGGTTCATGATATTGGTACTGCCAGACTTAAAATGTTTGATGATTATGGGTTTCTTTTTCTCAATGTGAGGTATGTTCCAAAACTCGGGCGAAATTTGTTATCCATAAGCATGTTGGATGATATAGGCTATTGCACTATAGTTGAATGTGGAATGTTGAAGATTTCGTATAATGAAGTGATCATAACTAAAAGGTCTAAAATATTTAGTATATATATTCTATAAGGTTCAAATGTTATTATTCATTGATTATCAGCTAGTTAATACTTTCTTGACAAAAATAAGTTATGAGATTTGAGGTCAAGGCACGATGATGCCTGGAGGTTGTTTTAGAACACTTTAATGAGTTTTGTATGACACAAGGGGAAAAAATGCATGAGATCGCTGAGTTTACATTGAGTCTCTAGGGTAAAGCTTGTTCCAAAGTAGCTTACTTGGTTGTCAGAGAGTTATGTCAAGGAAAAAAGAGTAAAAGTCAAGGGATGGAGCTTTTAGAAACTATGGCGAAGAAAACTCAATTTGAAGTGGATTTTCTTACTATAGATAATAGTAATAGTGAGGAAATGCTTACAGAGGATTCTGATTATCATTTGACTCGTAATAAGGTAAGGATGAATATTGTAGCATCGCAAATGGATGATTATGCTAGCCTTGGGTGTTATACTTTTAATATGGGTGAGTTGTTACAAAACTCATAAACATGGACCTTCAACGAGGCATTCGAAATCCGGTGGAGTCAATGATGGTTGAAAAACAATTCTTGTAGGTTAGTTAAATGACCTACACAGAAAAATGT